CGATCACGTCATCATGGACAGTGGTTGCACCAACACCACCATTTGTAATGGTGAACTCATGCATGGACTACGTCAAGCTGAGAAAGAGCTCGATATGCACACTAACGTGGGCAGCAGAGTTCTCGATAAAGAAGGGTTTCTAGCTGGGAAGGAGACGGGCCACCCCGTCTTGCTGTTAGGCACAAGTAAGTACTTGTACGGAGGAACGAAGTACAGATAGCGTCTGTCATGCGACATAGACACGATTGTACAGAGTGACGACATACAGGCGGTACCTCCCTACCGGTACCGGTATGATGTTGCAGTCCGGTATCAAATTAACAATCCAAAAACCAAAACTTGTTCCTGCCCATCGCTATGTTGCGCGTAACTCCCATTTACGGAAGCCGCAGGAACAACCAAGGTCCGGCTTCTCTTGGATCTTGCACACTAATTGAGTATGCAGGTGTCACGGTTCTTGTCAATGTTGGAGGGCCAATCGAGAACTATGATTGGGCATCTCTTCCAAAACATGATTGCCTCTTGATCACAGATTCTACCATGGCTTCTATGGGATCTTTTCCTTCATATTTCTCCTCCCCAGAAGCAAAGAATAAAGAGGTTTATGCAACATTTCCGACCGTCAAGATGGGGCAAATGAGCCTCTACGACTACCATGCAAACCTGTCTCTTGACGGCGGAAAACCACCATATTCTTTGGATCAAATGGATGATGCATTTGCCGCTATGCACACAATTAAGTATTCCCAGTCCATATATTTGCCAAAGAAAGAGAAACCAAAGCTTTCTATCACCGCACATCGTGCTGGGCATGTTATTGGTGGCGCGTTTTTTGTGTTTCAGCGACTTCAAGACGACACGTCGGTCGTTGTCACGTCAACCTATCATGTCGCAAAAGAACTTCATCTAGACTCTTCTACTCTGCTAAAACATGGCGCAACCCCTGATGTATTAGTTACCAGACCAGGAGGTCCGGCAATGCCACTTCTCAGTCAGCTGTATCGAGCAAATAAATTGAAGCCACCCTTGGCTTCACAGTCGCAGCGAAACATTGTTGAACATATATTGAGTGTTCTGAGACGTGATGGTAATGTTCTAATGCCTGTTGATGCGAGCGGTAGAGTCCTGGAATTGCTATTGTTACTAAGCCAGCATTGGGAAAAACAGCGGCTCCAAGGTGCGTATAATCTAGTTTGGATGGGCCCGATGGTTGCGAACACGATCGAATTTTGTAGATCACAACTGGAATGGATGGCCGAGTCGCTTGGCAATCAGTTTGATAATCCTGGAAAAGGGCACCCGTACGCTTTGAAATCAGTACATCTATGTACTTCCCTTGCTGATTTTGAATCACTTGTTGCGAACGGTAACCCAACGTGTGTCTTAGCAAGTGGAGGTTCCCTTGATCATGGACCTGCCCGGGACTTGCTTCTAAGATGGGCAGACAACGATAATCATGCCATATTATTTACTGACTCGGCCTGCTGCTATGAAAGACCGTGGAGACGACGACGTCGGGGGCAGTCAAATCCCAGTGAAACATCGGAGACGATTCAAGGGGAAAATCCAATTGTTTCAAATGAAAACCAAAGTGCCTCTGAATCAAATAGCTTGCTCACAGCGAATGTTCCAGTACCAACAATCCCTTCAAATGTGGAAGATCACGGAGAAGAAAATCAGGATACAGAGGAAATCGGGGCTGCCATCCAAGAAGAGGATTCAAGTGAATACACCACCAGTTATCAACTCCTACGACATTGGTGTGAAGCAAAAATGCAAGATCGTGAAATGGAGGATTCTGTATCAATTGATGTCTTGGTGCAACGGAGAGCTCCACTTGTTGGGCAAGAACTTAAGGTATTTATGGAACGAGAAGAAACGGCGAGACTGGCGAAGAGGAAACTAGAGGAAGAGCAAGCTATGTTGAGAGAAGTTGAATTGGCAAAAGGTCGTCTCCGATTGGGAGAAGACCAGCAGAGCCAACCTCATGGAGGCCAGAGGCTGGATAGTTCGAGGAGAGACGACGGTGGAGTCGATAGGCTTAGCCGTCCGAAGAAGAAAAGCCGCTTTGACTCTTCGCTCTTCTTCAAATTCTCTAAACCACTGCACCGTAAGTTTCTTTTATTTGGTTTGCGTTAAGACTTCCAGTTGCCTGATACAAATTTCATTTATCATAGTTACCTTTGAAGTCCGAGAAAATGCAGTTGGGGTGGGCCAAAATGATTCAACTGCCAAGTTTGGTATTGGTGAGGCAGTTGGAAACTCGGACGTTCTTGAAGATGACTACGGAATAGCAGTAGTTCCAGGCATGTTTGTTGACATTGTGACAGGTGTTGATCCGTCGAAGTTTGCAGGCGGTTCAGGTCGTATAGGCGATGAAGTGATACGTCGAGGTTTTGGCTTCGGTACAGTTGACAGTGGGGGCAAAAAACTTGCGAAAGATAGGAATTCCATGGTGGGTCCAATCGCAACTCTGATATTTTGAACTTTGTCTTTACCTGACTGCTTGATCATTAGGTTGGTATCAATGAAGCTGACGAAACAACTGACGAAAGAAGATTGGAAAGTGCTGATCTATCTGAAGGTAATGGGATCATCCGAGGGAGGAATGGTCGCCCCCCATCTAAAGTTGTCACTGTACCAAGAAAGCTCCAGGTCTTAGCTGAAATCGATTATATTCCGCTTGAAGGGAGAGTTGACTCGCGAGCTGCACGACAGTCCGTGAGAGCGTTACAGCCTCGACAGATAGTTATTCTTGGTGGTAGAACACATATAGATAACGAGACAACGAACGAAGGTGGTATTCAGACTGCGGACGAAGTGACATCATTGGTAGAGAATGCCCGAACATTTCTACAACCAAACTCGGAAATTCTGGTGCCTTCCGACGAGGAGACAGTACGTCTGGAAGTAGGTCATGCTGCTTTCTCAGTACGTTTGATTGCAAACCCTTTCTTTCCACAAAAAGAAGCGAGCGGACAAGATGCGATGAAAGCTGTAGAAATTCACGAGACAAAGCTCGGAGTGTGTTCTGTCAGCATGCTCGAGCACGTAGCAACAGGTCAGAAGGTTGCTGTCGATGGTTCAATTGTACTCGCACCCCGACCTACAGGTTCTTCAACTCCTTCACTGTATATCAGTGACGGGGAGGTCCTGCTTACAGATCTCCGAGCAGAAATGATTGCTCAAGGAATGAAAGCTGAATACAGGTAATGTTCCTTGTTGTCATGATAGTTTTGTTCAAGATACACTCACAATAGCTATAATTCTTGGTAGCACACATGCCGGATTTTCTCAACTTGTCATCAACGGAAAGTTGATTGTGAAGAAGGAAAAGGAATCTCGAAAGATTGCTATTGAAGGACCTTTGTGCGAAGACTTCTTCACAGTTCGAAGTATCTTGTGTGGTCAATATATAACGCTATAGTTCTAATCTCTGATGCCTATCTTCTTCTCTTAACTTGACATTAAGTCTACAATATGGTTGGTACGTGCCATACTGGTACCAAGTACTGTTGGTAATATACTTTTGCCAAAAGTGAGAGATGTCACAATCGGTACGTTAGAAGATTATGGTGTCTATCTACAGCAGAGGATTGCTGAATCCAATCGTACTGTAGGTACTGGTATGCATCGCATACTTTGACAACCGCAATGTTTCCATTTTTGTGTTTCGTCCAGATATACAGTACACGTACCTGGTACGTACCTAGTGTCTATTCTACCGCGCGCCTCATATGAGGCATATGCCTCATATGAGGCAGCTTTTGACAGTCCTACCTAACTACCGTAAACATGTTTAACAAACCTCCTGCTTTAAGAGCGTATTCCTTGGTATTC